GCCCCCCCCCCCCCCTCCCTCACACACACACATTCACATCAGGAGTCATCTTCACATTCAGAAGCTTGCACGAACAATGGAAAGGCCAGACGTTGTGCAAATATTTTGAAGCATCCCTGAGGAAGGCAGAGGGCACCCCAGTGTGCCATGGCACTCTGGTTGAGAAGGGTGGAAATGACATGTTTTTTTGCAAGAATGTCATCATTCATATGTCTCTAGCCAGCTCGACCACCCTTTTACATGTTTTAACCGTAGACCACATTCTAATTATATTTCCACAAAGCCTGGGCTGTTAGTGATGCCACAGTATAATGAGCATAACATTAATCGGTGTCATCCCGAGTAGCTCTGGAAGCACAATATGCTTTCCCCCTTTCCAGTCAAGCAAAGTCAAACAGCGAAAGCAAAGTTGAAACCCCCAGTATAGCAATCCTTCCTCCAAGCAGAGCATAAGTTCTGCTTCGCTACTGAATAATGTAGAGCTTTCATCAGCCAGGGGAATTGTAGGCCTGTCAGAATCCATAATACTTTGTAATGGACCACGAAAGTTCTACCGCACCAGCAAAAGACTGTCTCTCGTATACGGGCAAAAGACACCTCTGAGAAATCAGACATTCACTGCTGAGATACACACTATTAAAGCTATGCTAATCCATTCAATGTACCGTAGCACATTGCCTCTCATTGCACTGGCAATAAAGTAGTTAAGAAATGGGCTGCGATCGGATAATTTCTTTTCAATAGGGCAAAAAAGAAACGATAAATTGGGCAATTACCAAAAGACTTTGTGCAATCTGATATAGGCAATTTTTCATGTAAAGTCACACAGAATAAAACGACTCCATTAATCAGGATTATATTCTCTAGAAGAAGCCAGATAAGTTTGCTTAACACTGGACACTGAAAAGATCATGGTAAATGCAGTCTGAAGTATTTTTGCTGCTCTTGGCTGCTTTCTCATACTTTTTGTCTCTTGGTGTATATTATATATACACACACATACACATACCAAAACTGTAAATATATTTATATTTATAATAATAATAATAATAATGATATGTTTCCACATAGGCTTTGCAGTAAGCAGTCTATAGGTCTAAATGGAAATTCCAAAGGCTTATGGGGTGCAGCCATTCTTTATGGTGGAGAAGTCAAAAAGGGCAATAGGTATACCCATTGGTGGTAAATGTGTACAGGACCTTCCTCACATATAGGGATAGGGATGGAGGTCCACAAGACATAATGAGATTGGAGCAAATGAACCGTAAATAGAATCCCCATAACTTAATTATTTCAGCCAGCAAATAAAATCTAGCCATACTTTTTTGAAAAACTTTTTGTAAATATGAATAGCTACACTGCCAAGTCAAGGTGCTCATATAAAGTGTGCCACTAGTTTACAGTGAACCTGTGCTTTGAATGCAGGGCATGCAAGAGGTTTGCTTAGCTGCTGCCAATTCTAGCTACACATACTCTATCTCCCTCTGATCCTCCACTACCATTTGGCCACCCGGAAAGAAGAGAAATATGCTGTACTTCTGGGTATAGGGAGGATGTTCTTGATGATTGACTGTTCTGGCATACTGTGCTGTCACTTCGGACAGGGAGACCGTTTTCAGCTCTCTGTAGGGCTTACATGAGGCTTTTTCTCTTTGCTCCTGCCAGCCGAACAATTCATAAATTATCATATTGTTAAATTCAAGTGTAAGTTAGGGCAAGTACTTGAATTTGCCTTGGCCCCAACCTCTTGCAATCCTTCATATAATGGCACTCAGACTGAGAGAGGAGGGGGTATAGGGACCGATAG